TCGATAACCTTCTGTAACCATCCACACCACAATTCACTTGGCAAGCCCTGAATATATAACTTGGGCTTAGAATGGCAGTGATTAGCATGAGGAAGCATGGCGTGATGAATAGGTATGAGCATGGTGTGAGTGTCCAGCTTAATCCCCGTGGCATGACATGTTTGTAAATATATTCCTCGTCGATCCTGTGCCTTGGCATGTATTTGGGCTTGAATGTAGGCTTTGCATGACAATTGGGCCTTGAGACTTGATTGGATTGGTGTGCGATATTTTTGAGCCCCAACACATGTAAAAGCAGTAAAAAGAATCATCAACAATCCAGTAGGGTCATATAAAGGAATCTTGTTGAGTTCTGGTTTCATTTATATTTAAATTTGATGCTCAGTCACTTTGTTGTGGAAATCTTTTGGTGCATGATTTGGTCAAAAATGTCTACATCTCGTGCGATATCTCATCCCACTAGGAAGGACATAGTGGCACATTAAATTACTAGAGAACCATGGCACATTTGCTTTCAACCAGAATTTTTTTTGTTATTGAAGGCAAGTGGGATCAATATTTTGGCCCTTGCAAGTCATGTTGGCACTTGGCATTATATGCCAGTGAATGAAATTACAAAATGTTTCTTTGGCTGAAACAATACCATACTAAATGCATCAAAGAGTAAACAAGTGTTCATCTATCACAGTGGTAGAGATAAGTGTTGTCGTTGCATTACGGCGTAGATTTGAACTTTGTTGGCTCTCTAGTATAACATCTAATCTAACAAATCTATCTTTTGACAAAAAAAAAAAAAGAATAAGGAAGAATAAGAAGCACTAAAGAATAAATTTTGAGAAAAAGCTTAACTGTATAATTCACGTGTCGATGTTTAATTAGATGTATATGCTCACATATGTGCTACATCGGTAAATTGATAGAATATTCAACAAAAATAGATGATAAGGTTAATGTGTGGTGGTAAAGTTTAGAGACAATACGGATTAGTTTCTATTATTGAGGTATCAAAATGAGGAATGAAGTCAAATTTCAAAAATTATCTGTGTTAAAAACCCTTCCTATTTCATAAAAAAATTGGTATTATAACCATCTCATTGCAGTAAAAACCAATCATGTGTTAGCAAAAAATTTGAAGCATCTAACACACCCAACTTAACCCAACTATACACAATTGTTATTCACCCACAGTCCAAAATCAATATTAATAAATATAGTGAGTTTCAGTTGAAGAATGTCTCAAATACCTTCATGGGGCTTACTGTACATTGTATTTCAACGACCCAACCTTTTATCTTCTAGGTATTGTTTTTAAAGTTATTGTCGAGGCCCATAAAAGTTAGGAGCAAAACCCAACCAAGTCTTGAAGCCCAATTGCCACGAGAGCCCCAAGTCAAGCCCAAACACATGCAAAGGTACGGGATCAAAGAGGGAATATATTCACGACCATACCATGCTACAGTAATTAAGCCAGACATTTCTATAAATCACGGCATGCCCCCATGCCTATTTGTGACACTAAAATAAGCCCAAGTCACATGCTTGGGGCTTGTCAAGTAAATTATTGTGTGGATGGTTACAGGAGTTTATTGGGCCTATGTGGAGTCAAGATTGTGGAGGACTTTGGGTTGCTTAGGGGCCCAAAGATCCAAGCCCATAACCCTTGTAGCCCACATAGGCAAACATTGAGAAAGAACAGACTTAGTTTACCCCTTTCCCTAGCAAGCTAACAAATTCAATTTAGTAAGGAACCAAGTCCTAACTCTAGCCCACATGAAACCCCCAGCAAAGTAGGCATTTAATGAAGAGAGACGTTGACTTTCCCTTCCTAGCTCATGCAGAAGTTCAACGCACGAAAGTTATGAGGCACATTATCAAAAGTAGCGCATGTTGAAAACTGACTCATGAAAGCAGCGCCTTGGAAAAGAGGCATGATGTAGGTTTCATAGGTTGGCAGCACCTAACCATCTTGCACAGAAATAGAGGGTACCAGAAGAACTAGGGAGAAATGGGAGAAAGAAACAAGCAATAACTAGAGATTCCTTGGAAAAGAATCATTCAACTACAAATATAGGTCAAGAACCTTAGAGAGAGGATCCCAGCATAACACAAAGAGCCAAAGAAACTTAGAAGGCATCACTCTGCAACCTCAGTATTTTCCATAACATTCCTCTTGAGTATTCCAACCAGCAAAAGCCTTGTTACCACCCCCTGTGACTTATTTCTCTCTCTTTCATACAAAACTGATGAACCTCTAGCTTCCACACCACCCTTCTCTTGATCAAGCCATTGTTTGCTTAGTCATGCTAATCTTCGAGTTATTGATCTAACCGGGATATTTTCTAAAACGAGCTAACTCTTTCGAGATATTCTCGAGACTCGATACGAAATTGAACCAATGGAGATAAGAGGACGTTTTCAAAGCTCAAGTCCACCTGGACCTAAAAGTCCCCTAACAATTATCTCTAGTAAAAATCAACCATCAGAAATTATATGACCATTGGACTTAATAGTAGATATTTTAGTTTTTTTTTTTTTTTGAAACATCATTTACTTTCTTCACTACAATTGAATGCCATAATGATTTTGGATTGTCTATTTTTGCTAAAAATTGAATTGAAATAAAAAGGCTTCAGGTCATTGGAAAAGTTGCGAAGTGTATATCACAAAATGTCTCTCAAATCCTCAATAGAAGAAATAGTTAATAAATAAGTGTTTCTCTTAGGCCTCATAATTTCTTATATGACCTGTTAATCTGACCTAAAATGACATGAAAATAATGGTTTTCAGGTCAACATGTAGACTAATCGGATAACATGTTAAGAACCCGTTATTAACAGATTTACTCGCGGGTAACCCCTTTCAAACTGTTAAAAAAAAGTTAGCTTGATAATTTTAAACTACTAAAAAAATCTTACTAAAATAACCATAGGGTTTAATCTCACATAAAAATACCAAACAATTTAAAAGTACCAAAGCACATTAAAAATTTCATAATAATTATTTTACAAGGGTGAAAAATGTGAAGAAAAAAAAAGATGTAATCCGTCGTGATTGCATCCTCTATAATTTGACGATGGGTACATCGCCGTTTGGACTTCTAAAACCCTACAAAGCCTCGTTAATAGTGTTTTAGGGGGAGTTCAAAATAAACAAAATTTCATTATAATTAATGTACAAGCGTGAAAAAAATTTGTAAACGCTCATGATTGCATCCTCTACACTTTGACATCATCATTTGGATTTTTAAAACCCTACAATGCCTTGTGAGTAGTGTTTTTAGGGGGAGTTCAAAATAAATAAAAATTCAAAATAATTAATGCACAAGTGTGAAAAATATACAAACACTCGTGATTGCTTCCTCTACGTTTAGACGTGGTTACATTGTTGTTTAGATTTTTGAAACCTTTCAAACCCTCATGAATAGTTTTTTTGTTTAAGTACAAAATTAATACAAATTCATAATAACTAATGTAGAAATGTGAAAAATGTAAAAAAAAAAAAAATATATATATATATACAGTCACTTGTGGTGACAAGCTTTACAACTTTCATGAAGAGACCAACTTCGAAATTCAACACCATAATTCATAAACCCTAGATTTATATTCAACCGTTGATTGTACTTTATGCTCTATTCTTCTCACATGATTTCATTTTTTTAAATTTTCTCTTTTGAAAACATGATATTTTAGCCGATGCTGAAAAATGAACGGTTTAGATTGTTGATATCACATTTTGATGTTTACGATTAACTAAAATATGAGTCGATGCTATATAGTTTCTAGAGACTTTAGAAACTCCGACCAATATGTTCACTAACTATAAAATTTAAAAAGTGATATCATGTTTTTATAAAAGAAAATTTGAAAAAAAAAACGAAATTAGGTGATAAGAATAGAGGATAAACGTAAACGACAAGCAACAATCAAATTTAAATTTATGGATTATAGGATTATGGTGGCTAATTTCGGAGTTAACCTCTTTACAAAAGCTATAGAGCTTGTCATTATGAATGTTTGCATATTTTTTTTCACACCACTATGTTTTTCATTTGATTATTTATTGATTTAGAACATATTTTCTTTAACAGGTAATAAGTCAAATCATATTACCCGTCAATATATGGATCATATTTTCTTTCAACAGGATAATTCCCTAGAACAGCCCTAGACATTGTGCCTATAATCTTCTCATGTCACAAATACCTCTGAAGTTTATTTTTTTAACAAGATAATTTATTTGACGATCATGCTTGACATACTAATATGATTTCCTAATATTTTGCAATGTTGTAAACTTATGCATCTCAACATCTTTGGCATGTACCCAACAAAATGAGACAAATAAAGTGAACAAATCTTAAATCTTATAGAACATAATAATTCGCTCGAACCGCTATAATGAGAACTTCAAGTTAATAAAAAATAGTGACTTTTAGTGGCACACAACGTTTCAAAACAAAATCAGACCGGGGATGCACATGTTTCCCGTTTGCGTATAACGTATCTAGACCATATAAATTAACAACTGGAACTGTTAAGCTTCTTAATCTTCATTTACAGATCAACCTATATAAAAAATCATTTCAATCAGAGCTTATTTAGTCATTCATATGAATAGAACAAATCGATGGTGTGGGTGCCATGTAAAATATACATGATGAACCGTTCATTTATTTGATACGTTTAAATGAATTTATGATCTCCATCTCAAATGAATTTTTGTAGAGGTGACTTTCAATTGAAGATTATAAGAGATTGAACGGTTCCGATTGTTGAATACTTGAATTTGTATGATCAAAATACATTTTTCGCAAATCGGAGATGCGCATCCCCACTTGAGGGAAGTAAGTATTATCTATAAATGATTTTCCCTAGTTAGGCTAAAAGGGCACCATGTGAAGTTTGGGAGGTTAAATGTAAAAAAAATAGTTCAAGTGGTAATTGCACAAAACTAAAAAAGTTTAGAACCAAATTAAGTGCCATACATTTGTTTTAATATAGATAATCATTCTAATTTAATCACAACTCATCTGCTAGAACATATATAAATATATACATTATTGTGGAGGCAAGGTTTCTTGCAGAGCGTTCTACATATTAAATCATATCCCTCCTTGGCTGAAACAGAAGACTTGAACAATATGTCGAAAAGAACATATCAAACAAGAGAGGATATTGCAAGAAAGCGAACAAAGCAACTGGGACAAATGCAAATATGAATATAAGATCTGGAACCCATCTTAATCCATAATGGCAAGATAAATAGAAGGCTGTGCTGAAAGTTACCATCATGGATGTTATTGACACGAAGAGTGATGTGAGTCCGACCATCAACTTCAACGGTAAAGATTTGAGAAAATCGTTTTCAGCATACCGCGACGTGAGGATGTACAAGAACATGAGGATTGCAGTTGAGGAGGAAAAGAGTGCTACTCCATCAGATATGGCGAATATTAAAAATGCCTCCTCTTTTATGAAATTCGGTGTTCCTTTATTATCATCTATACCTCCCGGAATGCTAAATGCGGCTGAAAACACAACAGTGGCGATAAGAGTTGAAACTAGCATGCATGAATTTGTAGTGTCCTTCATCCATGATTCTCCCTTGCGCAATAGATCCTCATGCTCGCTAGTGAATAATTCTCGAGGTGTTTTACCTTGCGTATTTTTCATATCTATAAAGGGAGGTTGCACAATCTTCTCAACTTCCTGCCACATCAATGATCGATAATGAAATTAAAGAAGCAAGGAATTTCCAGGCAAGACGGATTAAAGTTGATTATAAGATGAACTTTAATGATACCTCAAACCATACTAATTCTCGCTGCATCTGAAGAGCTGCTCCGGACACAAGATTGAGTTGGTCTTGAGGTGCCAATTTTGCAGCTAGGTGTAGAATGTTGTTATTCTCGTCATCAGTAAATGTTGCTATGATATCTTTGATGGAGCCTGTCTCATGCACTAGATTGAAGATACTTGCATGACGATGCAAGACTGCAATATGGAATATGGTCCGATTGTTGTCATCATATTCCAATAGTAATTCCGGATAAGAGTCAATAAGCACAGATAAGAACTCATAATTTCCTAATTTCGCTGCGTCGAATACTAATTCTGAAGGCTCTCTTATCAAATGCATGACTTCGTCGTCGTCATGTTTCAACATTTCTTTCCAAAGGCATTCGACTAGCTTCAAGGCTTGGGTTTGCTTCAAGTTTCTTTTGTAAGAAACCCTCATGCATGGGAGTACTTTAACTGTAAATTAAAAGGATTACAACATAAACAAAATGGTTTATAGTCACAAGAATAGGAAAATTTCATACTAATGTAGGGTGATGAAATACGGAAGTTTGTTTTATATAACTAATCAGATTTTGATATCATAATTTTAGAAGTTTTAACTCACATGCTTTGATAAGTCTACTGCACATTCTTGGAGTACTTTGGTCGCCAAATTCTGAAGACTTTCGAGCTAAGACATGCAAGGCTGTTTCATTGTCGCCTTTGCGAGCCATTGCTAATGTTCTATCATCTTGTAGCAACTTGATGGCTAAATCTGCACAGTTTTACAAAGATTAAAAGAAGAGGAGGGGTTGGAAAGAGAACGCAAACAATTTTTAAAAGAATAGTAGTCAAGAAATAAAGATGTGTTTAAGGTTTAACAAGTTCCAATTACCTACCATAAAGACCATTATCGATAGAACAGAAAAATAGAACAATGCGGCCCATTTCATCCAGCATTTCAAATGTTTGAGGGTATAAATACCACGCCATTTCAGACTGTCCAAACAAAGCAGCCATATAGAGTGGTGTCATTCCTTGACCACCGGGGATTGTCGGCAATAACTTATTTTTTCCTATCAAAATCTTGGCAATTTCCACCGTTCCAGTTGCAGCGGCAAAGCTCAGTGCCGTATTTCCTTTAATATCTTGAAGTGCCAAGTCTTCTTCATCCATCATCTTGACTAGTTCCGCCACAATCTGAATATTGTTCTTGCTCCAGCTGCAACGTGAAGAACAGTTTCCCATCCGTTTGTTATGCTAGTAGTTAAGAGTGCCGGATTGATATTTAAGATGCCTTTGGCGGTTTCCCAATTGCCTTCCATTGCAGCTTTGTAGAGGGGCATACACAAGTTCAAGTATGCCTCTCCTGTGATGGATGCAAGGGATGAAATTAGACTAAGCATATGGTTAATTTATGAAAGTAGAATGTATATGTGCTATTTGACATTAGATTGATCCTTCTCTGAATATGATTCTTGTCTAAATAGATGAATTGTCTAATACTTTGTATCATTTAGTCGTTCATATGCATCAAAGAAATAAAGGAAAACTAACGAAAATTCAAGAGAATTTAGTTTTAATGAAAAAAGACAAATAAAAGTGTAGTGAATAGTACCAGGAAAAAGAAAAAATGTAGCTTTTCATTAAAAGTGAACAGTATCGAGAGTGTTTCGTTAAAACTCTCAAGAAATAAACAGTTCATTAGAGGATATTACTTGTTATAAAAAAAAAAAAAATTGGTTTGTTCCATACATGCATGGCAGGACGAACTCCAATTTGGCCAAATTTATTGACTTTTTAGTAAACTTCATTCTAATCCTTGAAAAAGATCATATTGAGACTAAAATCTTAATTAAGATTAAAAACTAATTTTAGTCCCTTTAGTCACTGTAAATGTCAGCATACATTTAATCAACTCATATAATGATATTTTGATGTTTTATTTCTCTTTTTCTTCCTAATCTTCATTTCATTCATCATGATATTTTGTTGTAGACATTTAGGTAAACTAACTCATTTATATTATTTAGACATTAATTTATAAAATATATTTTGCTATATCGATTTCGAAACAGACATTTAGATAAATTGATTTAATATAATACATTTTGATACAGACATTTAGGTAAATTAATTCATTATAATATATTTCGGTACCTACATTTCTATATAGATATTTAGGTAAATCAATTCATTTTAATATTTCAATACACTTATGTATTCTCGTATTTTCTTATGTGTAACTAATTTTTTTTTTCTTTTGAATTTTTTCTCATTTAGGTTCATTTTTAACAATATGATAGGAGGAAGTTAATCAAAATAAATGAATTAAAATGTGTATTTTTTGTCAAAGAATTAAAATGTGCATATTAATCAATTCAAATATTTAATGGGGAGATTTTAGGTATATTAAATAAAAGTAGAATATGAATTTGAATCAAATATACGTCAAAGAATTATAATTAATTTGTAATCTAACACTATGTTTTATTTAAATTTATATATGGGATATTTTGGATGCGGTCTCTAATCCTTAACATTCTTTGACTAAAACATTAATGGTATTCAAAGTTTGATCAAAATCCCTTGACTTTGTACACCTCATTATATTACAATTAATATTTATATTTTTATAGTTTTGACATTAATTGTTTGATATTTATGAGATTTATAATCCTATAAATTTAAAATCCCTCATTATAATACTATTAGAAACTGTTACAATAAAAAAATTCAAACATTTTGATTGAATAAATGGATAAAAACTATGTAAAAATAAGAATAATAAATGGCAAAAGAATGTATCCATAGTGTTAAAAAAATTGGTACATTTCACATATAACAAGGTGATACATTAATAAAGAAGAATGGGTACATTGTAAATAAATTAGGGTACAAATAAAAGATTAAAACATTATGAGTGCAAATGAATTTTTTAAAAATATAGGTGCTAAAAGAAATTAATACATGGGTACAAAATAAAACTAAAAAGAAAATACTACAAATTTAAAAAAAAAAATGTTGCAAATTAAAAGTGGGTACAAACTAAAAATATAAATATATGATACAAAGTTTAGGCATAAAACATAAATATACCATTTGTAATTTTTCTATCATTGATTAAATATATAATGTCATGTGACAGTATACACATGGGTACAAACACAAATAAAATTTTAAAAAATATGGGCACAAAAAGAAACTAATATATGGGTACAAATTAAAAATGAAACAAAAATTGGTACAAATTAAAAATAGGTACAAACTAAAAATAAAAATATATGATAAAAAATTTAGTCATAAATATAAATACACTAATAGTAACATTTTTAACACTAAAAGAATATATTTTAAAATAAAAATATTTTATTATTCAAATAATTAATGATGTTATTAATACTCAAGGACCTTGATCAAAAATTAAAAATGAATAGGATTTTAATTAATGGAGTAGCAAAAAGAAGGATGTGAACCTAATTTTTCTATAAGTATTAAAGTTAGAACCCCTTGATTTCTTTTACAAAGATAATATTTTAATGATAATAAAGTAAACAATTATGATTATGACATTTGTATACTTTCCAAAATGAGATTCTTGTTATTTAGAATCAGTTAACCGTGCAAAATGTGGAAAGAACTCAATAGAAAAAATAACCCACATAAGCATCGTGCTGACTTTGGTTGGCCTATTTTATCCTTGAAATTCAATTTTAAAACATTTTTATTGGAATACTATTAATAGACGTGGCAATATCTTACACGATTCGTTAACACGACACTTGAACGACACGAAAATAACGGGTTTTGTGTCAACACGATAACTAATTGGGTCATTATCGGGTCACACGATAATAACCCGTTAATAATGGATCCTTAACAGGTTTACACGAGAGTGACACGCAGGTGATCTATTTCGACACGATAAGAAAAAAGTTATTTTGATGATTTTAATTTTTTAAACTACTAAAAAAAACTTTACTATAAAATACAATAGATATAATGAATCTGTATATATTGTTTATTAATTATTATTCTATTATTATTCCATATAAATTTTAAAATTGAAGTTTTATTTATTTATTTATTTTATAGTATATTATAGGCAAAGATTGAGATTAAAAATCATAAAACATATTAAAAATAAAAATATCAAGTAATTTAAAAATACCAACACATTAAAAAATTATAATAATTAATTTATATGTGCGAAAAATATGAAAAAATATGCAAACGCTCATAGTCGCATCCTCTACGCTTTGAGGATGGTTATATGATCGTGTGAATTTTTAAACCTTACAAACTCTCATAATAGTATTTTTAAGGGAGTTCAAAATAAACAAAATTCATAATCATTAATGTATAAGTCTGAAAGATGTGAAAGCATAATAAACGTTCACAATTGCATCCTCAATCCTTAGACGATGGTTACATGGCCATTTAGATTTTTAAAACCCTCCAAATTTCATGAACAGTGTTTCTTATTTGGGTGCAAAATAAATAAAATTAATAATAATTATTGTTGAAATGTGAAAAATGTAATCACTCATAATGAAAAGTTTTACAACTTTCATGAGGGGGTCAACTCCGAAATTTAGTATGTATATACTAATTTAGTATTATGTTTTACATTTTTTGAGGTCAAATTATGTTTTTCATTTTCATTTTTATTGATTTAAAGTATATTTTTCTTAACGGGTAACGGGTCAAGTCATATTACCTGATAATATTAACAGGTTGATTTCGGGTCGAGTCATATTACCCGTTTACTTTAACGGGTATTACACGACACAACCTGTTAAGCTATCGGGTATGCCACAAAAATGATATGAACACAAGAAACACAACATGAATGCCAGGTCTAACTGTTAAGCCCACCCTAATGTCTTATTTTCACAACTACTATAAAATGATACTTTGATTGACAAATTTCAATCAAATTTATCCTAGTATAAAATGACCTTTAAAGACCTAAAAACCAACCAATCATGTCTTGCCACATAATTATTAGTTATATTGATTCTTTTTAAACAAATTATTAGTTATATTGATAAAAAAATCTAAAATATCATAAATAAGAAAAAGAAAAAAAAATATATCATGAACCCCACAAGCTTTCCTAGGGAAGGAAGTTCAGAAATTAAACTTATCAGGAAGAGGGTGAATACGGACTTGACAAACCAAAGCCTCGAGGCTCGTAATAAAGTACATGTTGTGGAAGGTGTGATTAAGCTTCACCAGAGAGTAGAGCAAGACATGAGGAGAGAAGCTCATAGTCCAGATTACATTAGGGGACTCACAGATCTGACACTCGTTGAACTCTGATCATGTTTTGTGTTATGGAACAATTTGGATACCTACCATATAATGAATTTGGAAGAATTTGATGTTAGGGAAAGCCAGTGCGGCACCAAACTATGAGTGAAGCTCTTCCAATTTAATCACACTCTCTCTTGTGTGGTTTGAATTCAAAATTGGAAATTATAGAAATTGGGTACTGGAGCAGTTTTCGAGACTTGGTGGTGCTGCGATGGTTGGCAATAGAGGAGGGGCACTTGGTGTTGGGGATTTGGGGAGTCAGTAGTTTTGCGAATTTTCTAGGGAGAGGGATATTGCTGATGATATTTGGAGTCTTGGGTATTTTCATTTTGTGATAATATTTTTTTTAAAGCAAAACAAAAAAATTTAAAAAGAAATATGTAGGGTTATTTTGGAAATAATAGTGGGTAGGAAAAGAGTTGATGCATTTTTTTACTTTTTACAGTGGGTGAAAATATAAGGTGGGTGGGGAATAAGACATTGGGGTGGGCATATCACCATTGTTTTATTGTTAATTTGAATTTCGAACCTTAATAGGTAAAAATGAAGAACACATATACATTCTTGAAATTATCTTATTTATAGGAACGATATTTGTATTGCCTTGTTAATAGACATATAAATTATATTACCTTGCTAATTGACGTAAAAATCATATCATGATTCTAAAAGACGCTAGGCTGCTAGACGGGGGCCTAACCATATTAAGTGCATTTATGTAATTTTATTATACGTCATATAAATAAGTGTATGTTTATACTTTAAAAATGCATAATGTATTGAGATATATAAATTCAAAATAGAATGACATAGATTATAGAGTAATAGAACATATTGAAAACATGAAGAACAAACATATAATGAGTGTCCATCTAAGTATTCAACGAGTCTCTTACAATTTACTATAAATAAATAAAATTAAAAATGAAAGTTATCTATTTTATGCCTACGTGAGAGTATTAACCGAGGCGGGTGCCTAGGCAGATCTAGGGCCTTTCTTAATTTTTAAACGTCTAGGGATTAATCAGGCGGTTGCCAACCTCTTAGTGCCTAGACGAGACCTAAGCGGCGATAGGCGGGAAAACAACATCAAAATGATTAAAACATGTATGAGTGAAAAGTTTTAAGATTATGTTACCGACAGTATGAAGAAAACTAACAATTACCGAAAAAAATAAAATACTTCTCTTTGCTAGGTAAATGGCTACGACACTTGGACCTTTAACAAGGTAAATACATAAAATGCACCATAAACTTTGTAGGAGAAGGGGAAATGCTATGAAATTCATACAATTTTAGAGGTGAAAAACATGAAATTTTGACAAGGAAGGAGAAAATAAAATTTTGAATTTTTGTAGGGGAAAAATTATTGATTGTGTGTTGTCAAGAATAAATAAAAACTTTGGAATTAGGATATAGAAGATCGTATTTGCTTTGGTAGATATCCTCTTCAAACGCTTGAACCCGCATGGATCACATCTAGACAAATAGAAGCAAGTGTGGCGAGCAATGACACAATGCATGCCACGGTGGAAAAATATGGGTATGCATATTTCCAGACAAACCTGTTATATTTTTAGCTACAAATCCAATAAATCTAAGCATAATGCTTGGTGTGTTGATTTTTTTAAGCCATTAACTACACATTCATTGAGAAAAAAAAAGGTTTAAATTGATGGTCTTCATAACATTACTCTTCGAAAAAAAAAGGGTTATTCATAAAATATGCTTATGATATTGGGTTTATCCCAACTTTTCATACATCATACTTTTGATCTTCATACTTTCATGCAATAGTTACCTCATATTCATATATAGCATATAACTTCACCTTGCTCTGTATTATTAATTGATATTAATTCAAGTTATTTCTTAATTTTTTTCCACGCTAGTTGTTTTTCTTTTTCCCAAGTAATCATTTTGCAGACTCTTTTGCCACTTTAATTAACCTTTACACACATGCAAATACAACGCATAGATGGAGACTAAATATAATCATATGGTACGTGTATGCATGCATGTGATGTGCATGAAAGAGAGATGTCGTACGTACTATTGGTATTTTCTAGTAGATGACGAGAAGGATGCCTCGGTTGAATCGGCGTAGAAGCCGCAATGCCGATGATTACATTTCCAGCAGCCGGAACGCCATTTACTGCCGTCATTTGGATCCCAGCTGGGGCAGGTACAAATTGTGCTTGTGGACTAGACATATTTCCCTATAAACTTGTGGAATATATATAAACATCTCCACAGAAAAATCTGAATTACCAACTAACTTATACTGTAATATACTAATATGTTTCTGAAGCATAACGAGAGAAACAATTCATTCACATTTACATAGTGACTAACTTTTGAAAAGTAAATTAAACTTACCATCACATGGAGTGACAATTTAAAATTTATTTACAAAGCAAGTTTCAGTGTTTTTCTTTCAAAAATTCGAATAGTATTGGTCATCTAGAACAAGAAAGGGACAAGCAAATTTGGTTGGTTCCTTTTACGTCACTCACCTACGTTAGGCTGACGAACTACCAAAATGTCTATTGCATGAAATAGCCATACGTCCGGCACTAAAAACATATGTGGAACCCTATCCGTAATGGTGGGGATCATTTTTTTTAAATTGTTTATTCACTAAAATCCTTTAATAATTGAGCAGTTAAAAATGGAGCAAGTCAATGATCGCTGTATATTTTACATATATAACAAAAATAAAAGATAAATAACTTAATTTCAGCTTAATCTGTTAATCATTGTTTAATTTTGGGAGACTTTGGATGCGGTCCCTAGTTATGAACAATCTTTGACTGAAACTTTGTTGGTTTTCAATTTTTGATCCAAGTCCCTAAAATTAATTGATAATTTATTTCTATGTACGTTACTATATTTTTTAAATTAAAAATTAAAATTTATAGTTGTTTATAGTAATGAGATTTTAAATAAAAAACATAATTTGTGGGATTAAAAATATTAAAATATAAATATACTATTGTGTGTGTGTGTAAACATGGGTACATTCATAAAAAATAACCAAAAAATGATTGTATCAAAACATGGGTACATTCTTCAAAATGGGTACATTTAGCAAAAATAAAAATGGGTACAAATAAATAAAAAAATATGGGTACAATACAAATAAAACTGTAAAAAATATGGACACAAAAAGAAATTAATATATGGGTACAAATTAAAATTGAAAGAAAAATTGGTACAAATTAAAAAAGGGTTGCAAATTAAAAATGGGTACAAACTAAAAATAAAAATATATGATAAAAAATTTAGCCATAAATATAAATATACTAATTGTAACATTTTTAATATTAAATGAATATATTTAGAAATAAAAAATATTTTATTATTGAAATAATTAATGATATTATTAATACAAAGGACCTTGATCAAAAATTGAAAAGTAATAAAGTTTTAATCAATAGAGTAGTAAAAATAAGGATGAAAACCTAATTACTCCTTTAATTTTAGAAAAACAGTTTTTTCAATCTCTTTGTAGTCTTTTCATTTTCCTTCTTCCTCCACTAATTTGTTCCAGAACCGCTGGTCAACCCTAATTACTTTTCTTACAACCTAGTGAACTTACAACAATACATGGCATGGGGAATCTGTTATGCTTCTAATTGATTAAATCATGTGTACGTACAAGATTGACGAGTAAAAAGAAGAATTAAATATATATTCAAGTAATATGGTCATTAAAAAGAAGAATTAAATATATATTCAAGTAATATGGTCATTGGACAAGGTACTCGATTCCAAATAATTTGAAGCTAATGAGTGTGTGAAAATTATGTAAACGGAGATGGAGATCTAATATACTTGCACGGTAAGTTTTGTTTAATGAAGACCGTTAATTTTGATAAGCGAAATCATGATATATAAAATATTACTTACAGAGATTTCCAGCAGCCAAGTGGAGCTAATTACACAGAAGCACTGCTACTCGACTCTGGAATTTAGTTTAGTCGAAAATGTAGAGAGAAAGAAGTCAACATACTGTACTGAGCTAATTAGGGTTTCTGGAGCTTAGATCGAGGAAACTTCATGAAGAATAATATATATAGGGTTTTAAAAGTGTTTGAAGCCGAACAAGGTAGTCACAGTATCTCTCTCTCTCTCTCTCTCTCTTCTCTCTCTCTCCACTCTTTTGTACCTTATCTTTAGTGGGGAAATTAACTTTTAAGACATGGGTCATTCAACAGAGAAAGAAACTTTCAAGACTTAATGTGTGGTTGTATTCACTCCATGTATGGCGTTATTTTATTGTTAAAATGTCGATGTTAAGTATCGTGTTGTGAAGACGACCAGGGGAGGGCAGTGGAAAAAGTGGTCTTGGACGGCCAACGACTAGTAAAACAATGGAGCCAATAAGGCAGTGGTTTCAGGTGCGGGAGGAGCCCGCCAAAAAGATTATTAAACAGATGATGACATATTACAAAGTCAGTGGCTTCCCCACTTAGAGTAAGAGACAAACCATGGTAACCTATAATTGAAGGGAAATTGGGAGGAAATTTCCCCCTTCTTTTTTTTTACATTAAAGAGTTTCGACCTCTAAGTTGCACGTGTAGGCAAGACCGAGGCGCACGCTTGGGTGATAATAATGCATTGGTGGCATATAAAATTGGCTTCCCGCATCCGAGGAGTGGCCACGACGGCCGCATTGCGTAGGGAGTCGACAATGTGCCGAAAAGAGACGAGGATCGCAAAACAAATACAAGAGAAGGTGGAAGTGGAAGTGGAAGTCTCCGCAGCCAAATGCTCAAATATTGGTGAATCTTGTAATATGCATGGTTGGTGCACAAATTTGGCAGAATATCTAATTATTCCTTGAATTTTGGTTCGTTTCATTTTATTGCATGTATATAATGTTTGTTATTATTTTTAAAATGCGATCGAATTGGATGGTCCAGAGAAGGAGAATATCTAAATATTACAGTACTTGGTACTTTAATGTCAAATATTAGCTAGAGGTAAAAGGACTAAAATTAAATATTGAATATAATAAAGTAATAATCCTTCTATGCTCTTTTCTTTACCCTAACGATTAAACATTTGCATGCACTATCAGCCAAAACTAAGGAGCCGAAAGTGCAGGTTTCTATATAGCAAGGTAGGCTCAAGCTAGCTAAGATTGTGTTGTTGAGAAAAAAAGTCGTACATAGCGATCTAAGAGTTCCATGTGGAAGGGCGCTATCTCGCTCAAAGGGTCAAATGTAAGATAAGATCCAAAGATACATGCTTTGACATATTTTTTTGTGAAATTCATTCCGTAATATAGTGATCTAAGGGTGTGTTTGTTGCATCGGACTAAATCGGACTGGACTAGCTTTAGAGATTAAGCTGGACTAGCTTAAACTAAACTAAATTAGATTGACTTAGTGAAGCATTTAGTGTAGTGTTAGGACTACAAAAAAGTACTATAATTTTTATTAAATTTATTTATTTTCTATCAAAAAATTAATTTCTTCCTACAATCCTTCTCCTGGCAAACTCTGCTATTCCCCTTCTCGATTTGTCCGGCAAGCTCCTCCACTATCTCCACAATCTCACCATCTCTCTCACTTATTTATAGTTATCTTAACTTTTTAAAAACTAATTAATTTTCCCCTTCAATCTTATTAGCAACCAAATCGCCTGAAAAATGAACTGATCTCCCCAACCTGCAACAAAATAATCAAATCGCATAAAGTTGAACAAATCTCCCCAACCTTCATCGTCAACCTCTCGATCTGCTTCTAGTTAACAACACCCATCGACGGTAGCATTGCCAGGTGCTCCATCAAGTCGGGACTTTTGCCTACAACAATGCTACTTCAGCTCTCCCAAGCTTGGGCCATGGAAGAGCAAGCATCGCCGACGAGCTAGCCATAGTGACAGTGCAACAGAAAAAGAAGGCAAAATGGATGTCAGGGTGTAGCAATTGTCGACCTCGTTTTCCATTTTAGTCCCGCTTAATACCAAGCTAAAACTCCAGACTAAGTAACGACCTTTAACGAAGCGCATAGGGACTGTTAGTCAAAGCGAGTCCCATTTATTCTAGTCTAGAAATAGACCAAACATAGGATTATAGTCCTACTTAAGCCAGTCCCTCTTAAGAAGGTGTAACAAACGCACCCTAAGAGTTCATGTGGAAGGGCTTTAGCTCGCTCGAAAGATAAAACGTAAGATAGGAACTAGAGACAATGCTTTTGACACGTGTTCTTGTGAAATCCACTCTTTAATATATTTCAAAGAAAAAAATTTATTATTATGAAAAAATAAGAATTTTTTTTTATTTATAAGAAAGACTATATATATGTCCAATCTCTAGCGGCTGGTTCCACAACATGCTCCTCGCTTCCCTATGGAATAATAAGGGGGGCAAGACTCTTTCTCAAAGGCTCTATTCATGCTAACCCCTGATAAGCTCATATTATATATATTTTACATAAAATTCACTTGTCTTTTCTTAGTTAGTTCCTTATATTTTTGAGCTATTTACTATGTTTTTGTGTTTTGTGTGATTTATCAAGCAAAGAAAAGAAAAGTAGCACAAGTGAATTATTAAGTAACAAATTCGTCAAAACTGCCTGTGCAGATTATCTGACTTTGGAAGCATGTTACAAACAGCTCAGAATGAATGAGAGAATGAGCCTTATATACGTGGAAAGCTACGGATGTCTATTTTCTGGAGCAATTTACGGATTGTTAATCTCATTTTTCTAGAAGAAGTTATGGGCATTGTAACACTGAAAGGTCAGAAAAGGGCTAAGCAGATTTGGCTAATAAAAAGAGAAAGGCAACACAAATGCAAAGGAAAAACACACACACATGGGCAAAGGAAACACACACACATGGGTAGGAATTGTGGGTGTTTGGTGGTTGAAATGATGAAGCATGTGTGTGTAAATGTAAAGGGGAAACATGACAACTCACACCCACACAAGATGCACATGCAAAGGAAATGGAGTGGTCCTCTCTCAAGCCTATAAATACCACCTCCCATATTCATCAACAAAAACAGATTTTGATCCATCTTAGCCGAAACTTCCCACCACCATTCTCTCTAATTTCAGCCAAAAACCACCCCTAGCCACACCACCCATCAATCCTAAACCTTTCCATACCATTCCCCATCCATTCTACACCATAAAAACCACCCAAAACCGTCCAAAAACCTCTAGTGCCGCTGCTTGCAAGGAAGGAAAGAGAAGGAACATCTTGTGCCGTGCCTATGCCCAAGCCTTGGGAGTGTTGGAGCGTTTCTAGGTGTTTTCTATCTTTGTTTTTAATGTCTAAATTTATGCATCTTTGCTTTGTAAGTATGAGGAACTAAACCCCTCTTAGTTAGGGGGTGATTCGAAACTATGTTCATGCTTGCAATATGATTTGATTACATCCAGTTGTGATTCATAAGTTGTGAATTCAATTTACTTATCCGTTCGTATAAAAACTGATTTGTGTATGTTGGTTGAGAGTGCACGCTTAATTTTCATGCATGAATTTGACGCTAGAATATAAGGGAGTTTCACCTAATCGTTATGAACTTATATGCACAAGTAGTGAAGGTTGCTAGTCACAATCACGTTAAGTAAATTCTTGGCATAAGTTTCATGCAAATCATAGTAACGAGTACCTCGTCAATGCTTATGTTTTTCATAGAACTTAATGATTCTTGCTTGTATCTCTATTATGCAATTCATGTAGGGAACTTGTAGGGAATGTTTTGGGTTGTCGTATGCAATCATCCAACCTAATAACTTGTGGAAAAACTGAGGGTTAATTAGTGCAATTCACGGTTAATTTGGGGCATTGAGTATTCATAGTTTATCGAAAAGCAACTGGAAATCGTTTTGTATGCAAGTGTGACATGTGTGGAGAAGAACCTCCTAGCTAGCCTTCCATCCATAAGTTAAATTCAAATTCATTTACAATCTGTTTTGATTCACCCAAATTTGTCTAAGAATCTGTTTACTTTGTTCTTGTCTTAATTTAATTATTTTCGTCCAAAATCAACCCCATCTTATTTCTTTGAGTCATATTAATTAGAACTTGTCTTAGATTATGTTTTTAAGTGTTTTAGTCCATTAGAAAACCAAAATTCGTCCAAGTTTGTGTTAGGTGTTCAAAACTGCCCAGAAAGTGTTTTTAAGGCAGTTTTGAGTGTTTATTTGCTGTTTTGAATCTTTTTGTTTATCTTAGTATTTTAAAGTATAGTTTTGCATTCTTTGAGTCTAGTTTAGTGTTTTAAACTTTGTTTTTACGTTTTCAAGTCAGTTTCCAAGTGATTTAGCAATCCCTCCTAATCCCCGGCCTAGAACGATCCCTACTTACATACTTTACTACATTTGATAAAAAGAGGGTTTAATTTGTGTGCTTATATATTTCGCATCAACCCCAAAGAGTCAAGTCACTTGTTTTTCACTATCTCTCATCTGGCATCTCGGGATCTAATCATGACACACCCCGATCCTAGAATCAAGGCATGTTGGCCGTCACGTGAGCGTGACGTAACCATAAGTGTGGTGCGGAAGCAAAATAAGAGAATTACAAAAGAATAAAAACCAACTACTAGCAAGAATAACCAAAAGCATGCTAGAGAGAGTTAAAGTGTGCAACACACAATTTCAGAGCATAAGCAACTAGGTGCAGTCAAGTAGGACTATAATTAAGTTACAACACCCGCAGGTGAGTCCTACATTAGGAGAGTCTGTCAGAACGCCGAAGAAAGCCTCATGAGCCACCAACTGCTAACTAGAACCTGGAGGGGCGCAAAACAAAATTGAGTGGGTCAGTAAAACAAAACTTTTCGAAAACCTTTCATTTAAAACATTTCTAACCCCTCGCTATAAAACCTGTATACTTTCCCAGAAAATAGCATACTAGCATAATACTTTTCATTTATCTCAAATCGTCAATCTTTCTTAAAAACCAGAAAGTATGCCATGTTAAAAACTTTCAAAAACAGAATGAATGATGCATCAATGTAACAAGTGAAATAATGAATTAACCGGAGACCCTGCAGTTGATCCTGTATGGTTAATTCTATAGCTCAACATCAAATCCATCCGGAGTCACCTCGGTGACCTGTACGGCACTACACTGCATACATCGGAACTACCTGAAGTAGTCTGTACGATAAGGATGGTGTAATAATAATACGCTCTAGTGCTTCTCTCATCAAACATCTGTG